ACCCCCTCCCCCACCCCCTCACTTCCTCGGGCTGGATTTTCCTTACGCTTCAGGGCTGGTCCTTGAGTCCCTCGCCCTCACTCTGTTTCCTACAGGGCACAGGGGTATAGAGTTTCCACTGTGTGTGAACATGTGTTTGTTTTTGTGTTGGGGGGTAAGAAGAGTTGTCTTTCACACCCTCACTACCCAGTAAGGCTGTAAGGCTTTGGGGGGCCCCAGCCCTCCCCAGGGGGATCTAGGTGAGCTAGGAGCTGCAAAGTGGGGGAGGCGGGGGAGGAAGAGGGCTAGGGGCGAGGAGGGGGCTGCTGGAAGCGGGGCTGGGTGAGGGGAGTTGCTGTGGTTGGGTTATCTGATGTGAGGAGCCAGGTGTGCTCTGGGGGTGGGGGAAGAGCTGCCTGAGAGAGGCAGAAACTGCAGAAGCGGCCTGTAGACACAGAGGCAGAGACAAAAAAGATTGAATGGCACTGAATCAACAGGGGGACCCAGGGAGACTTCCAGATCCCTCTCCATCAGAGACTGGCTTTCCTCCTTGACAAGACGAACTCTGGAGGCCACCAAGAGAGTTACTCCTGCCACCCAGCCCTTGGTCCCCCAGCCCCTGGGACACCTGCTCCTCCAGCTCTCCAGCTCCCAGAGAAGCAGGCAGGCCCCGTTCAACACCGCGTGGCGAAGGTGGGGGTGACGGGCTGTGAGGAGTGGGGATGAAAATCCAGCCTTATCCCTGAATCAGAGCAGTTGGAGACAGTTGAGGGTCTATAATCTCGGTTGGGGGTTGACGGGTGGAGGAGGCTTTGCAGGAGGAGATAATGGGGTGGAGCAGAGGCCTGGCCTGGAACAGGGGGCCCTAGGCCCAGGCGCCTCTCAGCCAGCTTTCCCCCACCAGCGCCTCCACTCAAGACAGATGGTGCCCTGTGGAACATGGAGCTGGGGCTGCGTGTGTGGAGCTGGGCTGTGAGCACCACCCAGGTGCTAGCTTGATTCTTCACAAGAGGGCCCAACTGTGAGTTCCAACCTCCATGCCTCCTCCTGCCTGGACTTGGAGTGCGTGTATGTTGGGAGGAAGGTGCTCCTTATAGAAGGATATCTTGGTTAGAGGCAAGGATCCCCAGATGGTGATGAGAATGATAATAATAAAGGCTAATAGTTATCAAGCACTTACTACTTGCCAGGCACAATTCTGAATGTTGTATATGAACTCATTTAGTCTTCACAACTCCATTGAAGTAGGTACCATTATTATCGTCGCTTTATGGAAGAGAAACAGAAGAAGTACACAGTGCCAGCAGTCAAAAAAGTGAGTTCAGGCCTTCCCCTCAATGCTGTTTCTGCTGTTCTCACCTGCTACCCTAGATGAGGCCCTGCTGGGCCCCATGCTGTAAGCCTGCCTTCATGTTATCTTCACAAAGACCTTACGTCCCCATTCATAGAGGAGGAAACCAAGGCCCGGGAAGTTCAAGTCCTTTCCCCAAGTTACATAGCTAGTGAGAGACATGGTCAGGATTCAGGGCGAGCTACTTGTAAAGTCCATGCTCTCTTCCACTACCTTGGCCGCTTCCCCCAAGGCTGGGGAGTGGTGGGGAGAGGAGGTGGGAGAGCACCTGAGCTCCATTTTCCTTTGCAGCCCTCACCGCCTGGCACTCCACTGGCTCAGGGTAGGAGGAGCACTGGTAAGCACTTGCTCAAAGAACGAACTAACAACCAAGTGAACCAACAAGGAACGGTCATCTTCCAAGCCAGTGCTGTCCTGCCCAAGGGCAGTGTTCCCTCCCCTCCCACCCACTCCTCTACCACCTCAAGGCCTTCCTGTCAGAACAGCAGAAGGCAGGGAGCCCCTTGGGGTGGGGTCCCTATCAGAGAGGAAGTGGGGTTGACTTCTCTCCCATCCCCTTTATCACCTCTCTGCATCCCCTTTATCAGCCAGGGCTCTTCCACCATCCCCTTCCTGCCACTCCCCCTACGCTCCAAGGTGGGAGAGGGGGAGAAATTTAAATCAGTGGAATTGGGGGGGGGGCCGGAATGGAGGAAACAGAGGGGATGCCAGGAAGGGGTTTCCCTGGCACTCAACCTGGTGCTCAGTCCTCCACACTCAGGCTGGGCTGCCCTCGGTGGCTGAGCCTTTTCTGATGGGCTGCTTGGTCCAGTGGGCAAATGGAGAAACAGAAACCAGGCAAACATGTAGTTGGGGCCCCTGCCCTCTCCACACCTTAGCCCCATGCCAGCTGCCACAGGTATTCACAGGCATCTACAGGGTTTTTAATTAGATGGGGTTGGGTCAGGGTGGCACAGGCCTTTCCAGATGCCCTGTAGGATTCTGAGTGTAAGTGAAAAGGGCAGAGTGGGGAGGCCCCATGGAGCTAAATAAGGGCTGCCAGCCTGTGCTATGCATGATTTCTCCATTCCCCACAGAGGTGAGAGCTCTGCCGCTGCCCACTGCCTTTCTCCTCTCAGCAACCAGTATCTAGGAGACTGGGCCTTTCCTCCCTGAGTCCAGCTCACACAGAATTTGCAAAACAATCCAGCTTGGAATTTGATACTTGATCTACCTCTTCCTGCACTCCTTATATCAGATATCCCTGGATCGCTGATCCTTGGCTCAGATCTGGTCTCATTCCACAAGGATCTGTCCAGACTTGGGGTGAAACTGTTGGGTCCTGAGGAAGGGGGGGGGGGTGCAGAAGCATTGACAAGTTCCTCAAATTCCAGTGGGTACCTGGGTCTTTCCAAACACTCCCTAATGAGACTCAGTCCCTCATTACATGCCCCCTTCCCTGGCTCCCAGTGAGGTCTTGGGCAACTGAACCAAAATGCGCTGATGCCAACCTGCAGGAGGGCATAGCCTATGGCTCTGTCTCAGTCAACTCTGTGCGTGGTCTGCAGACCCCAGTTTTGGAAGATGCAAGGCCAGGAGAGATGATCAGAATAGTGGGTGATAAAATGAGGATTCAAAGATTTAGCAGGCTAAGATAAATAAAATCAGAAAAACATGACTAGGGATAAATGCTAATTCTGCATTTTGGTTCCAAACCCAAACTGTCCACATACAGAATGAGGGAGATGTAACATGCTTTAGGGAACGGTAGTTAGCATGTGGGTTCTGAAGCCACAGGGACTTAACTTCTCAGTTTCCAAAGTTCAAGGGAAGGTGTTTAAATTTGCATAAGTCTGTTTGCATCTCATTTTCTAACAGGGACCCAAGCGGAATTTTTTTTAACTTGAAATCTCTTGTGAAGATCAGGTCTTTCAGATGATAACAGAAGTGGGTAGCATGGCCTTGCATTCATTCATTCATCCATCCATTAATTCAGCTACATTTGTGGAAGCCCTCCCTCCTTTGTTCCAATCTGGAAGGGAGCCCTGAAGCCAAAACAGAAATGTAAAACTCACTACAATGTACACTTCGTTCTACAATAGAGTGCACAATTCTACCCAAATGGGGCAACCGGGGGTACCGGCTGGTGAAGTTCAGGGAAGGATTTATGAAAGACATAAAACCTGAGCTGTAAATTGAAGGAGCAGTGGGAGTTTGCACAACTGAGAAAACTGGAGGATAGAGAGAAAGGGGTGGTGGTGGTATGTAGAACTAAGGAAATAGTGCGTGTAAAAGTGTACATTATGGGTCTCAGAGTGTCATCTGGGGACCCCCTGTGGGTCCCTGAGCCACACTTAGGGGCTCTGCAAGGTCAAAACTATTTTTACAATAATACTAAGACATTATTTGCCTTTTGAACTCTCATTCTCTCACTTGCGTACAGAGGAGTTTTCCAGAGGCTCCATGATGTGTGATAGCCTAACAGATGGAATGCAAAACCAGATATGAGAATCTAGCTGCCTTCTAGTAAACCAGGCATTAAAGAGTTTCACAAGACTACAAAACCATAGCCTCTTGTCACTACATTTGTTCTGCTTTGGGAAAAGTTTGTTGTAATAAAACTTGTTTTTTAACGTTAACTTGTAATATAGTCATTGTTGTTATTTAAAATTTTTAATACATATTTTAAACATTTCTCCACTTAAATTTCTAACATGGTAAAATATTGATGGGTATAACCCACAGAAACAAAAGCTCTTTCAGGTCCTTATTTTTAATAGTGTGAAGGGATCCCAAGACCAAAACATTTGAGAACCACTGGAGTGGAGCCCAGCCACGGAGGTGCAAGTGGTTGGAGGCAGCAGTGGCTTGAGTTTCAATGCCTGGACAGTGACAGGTGACCCTGAGAGGCAGACAGACCTGATCATCGTGGGCTTTGTACCTCTCCAAAGAAGCAGGGGTGCAGTAAGCACGGGGGTCAAACATGAGAAACAGGGGCGGCAGGTTAGCTCAGGTGGTTAGAGCGCAGGCTCATAACATCAAGGTTGCCAGTTCGATTCCCACATGGGCCACTGAGTTGCGCACCCCCCCCCCACACACACACAACCAGATTGAAACAACCACTCGACTTGGAGCTGATGGATCCTGGAAAAACACACTGTTCCCCAATAAAATTTTTAAAAAAGAGAGGGAAACAATGACACAACAAACACACGGAGAAAGCCTGCTTTTGAAGCTTATTTGGGTTCCCCTTCATCAGGCATGAGCCACTTCTTCCCAGAGAACGCTGACATTAATTACGGGTCGGTTATGTGTGCAGTGAGGTGGGGTGGCAATGGTCATTGGAGTAGCGAAGTTGTTAAAGAAAGGCCATAATTGAAAGAGAACTTGGGGACAGTATTAGCTAGGGTTCCACGTGTTCCACATGTTTCCACGTGTGCCTGCCTTCCTATCTCTTTCCCACACTTTTCTCTCCAGGCGGAGCTGTTTCAGTTGGGGCCCACCCCCCACTCCCCTTGGTGACCAGATGGCAAAATGATGCCTTCCTCCAACTCCGGTAGATACTCATAGAACAGGAAGGAGACCATAGCTTCTGAGGCTGAGGTCTAAAGGATGGGCCCTGGGCCAGTTCAGAGAGCCCAGCAAGGACCGGTGGTCAGAGTGTGAAAGCAGTTCAGCCCTTGATGAAAGTTTACTTGACCATGCCTCTGCAACATGATAATAATGCTGGTCAGCATTTAGGAGTTATGGCTACATCCAGGTAGCGCGATAAAAGCTTTACACAGATTATATCACAACAACAAACCTGGAAGGAGGTACTATTATTGTTGCTGTTGTATAGATGAAGACTCTGAGGCTCAAAAACGTTAAGCAACTTGTCCAAGATCATCCAGGTAGCAAGTGGCAGAGTCAGGACAGAGATGCAGGAGTTCATGCTGTTAAGTGTTAGCTTTGAGGCTTCTGCTTGTGCTGTATGGTGATGACCTGTCTTCTCCCTCTGGACCGTGCCTTTCTTAGGGGCAGCGACTGTCTTATTCATCGCCGTAGCCCTAGCACTGAGTTCAGTGCTGTGTCTGTACTTGGAAACATTGGAAGGACTGCACAACAAGGCTGGACCTCAGAGGGAACCTGGAGCCAGCATGGAGGGTGCTCAGAGCCTCCAGGCACAAAAGAGCTCAGTCTTAGAGTGCCTTTGACTAAATAAGGTGTGTCCGATTCTTCCCTGGCTGTGACACTGGAGGTGGCCTGGGAAGCCAGAGAGCAGGCCCCTTATCCGTTTTGCTTGGTCCTTGGTGTGAGGACCAGTGAACACTACCAGGTGCCCGCAGTAGCAGGGACTCAGTCAGCTTCACAGAGATACAGAAAGGGCGGGAGTGGGGGATAGAGGGAGGAAATGGGAGAGAGAGAGGCTGAGCCGGCAGCTCAAACCTATCCCTGTAGGGCAGTAGCACCACCTAGTGGTGAAGTTCAAGATGATTTAGGAAAAGAATACCCTGCACTTCAACCTACACTTCAAAGTCCGCTTCCCTGGGACCTAACTTGCAATACTACCTCATGTATCATATGCGATATGTCTGAACACAGAGATTCAGAGCAGCCGTCAGGAGCAGGGAACCCCACCTCCCAAATCACCGCCCCCCCCCCCAACCACTGCTCCACACTCCCCTGTGCTTCTTGGCCTCTTGGAACACAGACTCCTCCAGGGGCCTCACAGGCTTCTTGTCCACAATAAGTGCTAGTCGTCAATAGGGTGTCCACCTGATGAGGCGTCTCCTCGGTCATGCTGAGGATGCCAGATGTCACTCATCACCCTTGTGCCCTGCGGGGCCATGGGGCAGGCAGGCAGACCCCACACTGCATAGACAGCCTCCAGGGAGTTCCAGCAGAAGCTAGAGACACTGACCTGAGGGCTCTGGCCACTCCAGGCAGGCCCCGTTTGCTTGCCCCCAGAAAGAATCAACATTTCCCGGCACACCACTGACCTACCTGTGTTTCTGCCACGTGAAGCTCTGAGCCTATCCACCTCACGGCCTGGGAGGTGTTTTTCCTTTATGCGCCTTTTGCAGGCCTGTTCACAGCAGTGAGGTAGCAGCATACATATCTCCTACATGATGTTGAACAGTCTAGGGGCTGTCTGCCCAACAGATCAACAGGAGCGCATCATCCACAATTAGGGAAGAATGTGTTGTGCTGACCCGTGCGGTGACAGAAATGTTTGGATCTGCACTGTTCATCCTGGTAATCCTGGGGCTGCTGAGTAGTGGAATTGTGGCTAGTGCAGCTAAAGTGCTAAGTGTTTGGTTGTATTTAATTGTAATTAATTAATTAAAAAATAAATAATTGTAATTAATTGAAATAGTCACATGTGGCTACTGTATTGAACAGCACACGTGTAGAACCAAAGTTGGAACGTGAAATCTTAAAATCACTTTATCCTAACTGTAAGCTCCTCTCAGTTTCCCTGAAACAGTTCATTGTAACACGCAGCCTTAGAGAGTTTGCTTTCCTCTAGGTCATCTACAGAATGCTGAATAAGATTCTCCTAAGTTTCTAAGAATGTCTTTCTCATGCTTCCCCAGCCAGAGATATGTGCGTTTAAGCAGCTGTTGATTTCCTTTCTCTAAGTCCATTCATTTTTCATAACAAAACAGCCCTCAAGCCTCATCCACAATTCTTCTACTCCCATCCCATCCCCCACTGACACATGTGGTTTGAAATCGTTGGGTTTGAAATCTTTTTAGATACTTCTGAAAAATGAAAGTAAATCATATTCCCAGATTCCCAGGCCCATTTATCCTAAATAAATACATTGATTAGGCATGATTTCCCCATTTGCAGATCACTATGCTGTGTCTTTGGTGGGCTATTTTTGCAGAGGAGGGTGCGTTGGCTCCTCTGGGTCCCTTGGGAGTTGCTGGGTATGTACAGGAGTTGGCTGCAATCCTTTATCACTGGCGCAACAGCCATTTCAAATACAAGACATGTTTTTGTCAACTGTTGCCTGCTTTTCATCCTTGAGGTGCTCAGATAAGTGCCTGAGGGGATGCAGCACATATACCTGAACACTTCCTGAGAATTGAGCACTGGTTGATCCATTCTCCCATCTCAGGGCCCACTTTAAAAATGGGAAGACCTCCCTTACATCCTCTTTAGCAGAGAGCTGGCAAGATGGTCACCTGCCAGGCCACTCAACTCAGTAGGAAGCAGTGTAGGATTGTAGCACTTTGTTAATGGCTTCTGGAGCCAGCTGTCAAGGGTTCAAAGCTCATTTCTTCACCCATGTGGCTGTGGGCAAGTTATCCCCTCTGTCAAGTGGGGGAAATGGTAGTCCATCTCCCCTGAGGTCCTCATAATGATAGAGCAAGTTGGTTTGCATAAAGCACTTATTTACAGCAATATTTACTTGCCACATAGTGAGTGCAATGTAAGTATGAGCTATTTTTATTACCGTAAGCAAAATTTTCTTCACTGGTTTTTTTGACAAATTTCTGACAGTCTTTTTTATTTCCCTCTTTAGCAGTAACTCAGGAGGCACTGTTTAAAGCTTGCTTTTGCTGCTTCCACTGGGCCTGTCATACATTCCAAACTTCCTTGTTGGCCTCACTTCGATTCCCCCACTGGCTTCCAGTTAGGCAGCAGAAGGGTTTTCCTGTCTCCTAGAACCTTTATTTGGCCTCTTGGTGCTCACACTTTCCTGGGTTTCTGATAATACTTTACAAGTTTTAGATTTATAAACATCTACCTTCATCTTCTCTCATTGTAAAGCAGAATAGATGATAATCACATTTTCTCCCAATTCAGCCCCATGAAACCTCACTTTTCCTTTTTTCCCCCTCCTAACTCTCAGACTCCCCTTGGGAAGTGGGCTGGGTTGTTGTGGGTTCCAGCGCTGAGGAGCTATTGTTCTCGTGTGACCAGTTCCTGGAGAAGGGAGGGCCAGAGAGAGAGAGAGAGAGCCGGGAAGGTGGAGGCATTACAAAGACAAATGCACTTTATTGATAAGGCAACAGCATTATACAGGGCTGAGGCAGAGACCCCATCTTGCCAGGGCCACATTGGGGGTAGGGGGTCTGATTCACATTGAGACACAGGCTGAGGTGTCCCTCATCCTCCTGGTGGGTCAGCAGGGTGACAACCCAGGGAAGGAAGGCAGAGGTTTGGGATCTAGACTTGCTCTGTCTCAAATCCAGCACTTCCTCCAAGGGACAGTCAACCCCTGGGGGAATAGGAAACGGGGTCTGAGCTCAAGCGTGGTATAGTGAAAAGAGCACTGGACCATAAGTCCACAGTCGGGGTCCAGTCCTGGTGATACTTCTAACTAGTTATATGAGTTTGGATGAGTCACGCCCTCCTCTAAGCGTCAGTTTTCTTTAACAAGGGGGTTGAACAAGTTTAGTGATTTTCAAGCCTTTTCTCCCACTGAATAGGAAGCTGGACCGATGTGTTCTTGTGTGCTGCAGCTAAAATCAAACAACAAGGCTCTCCCTGATTTATAAAATAACAACAACAAAAATAATTAATATATAGAATTTTCACAATATAAGTCAACCCCCCCATAAATATCTCTTAATCAGTGGTGCCTACTACCCGCTATATTAGAATGTCGAACAAAATGGAATCTGATTCTGAAAATAACTCATATCTAATAAACATAAGATTCAGCCATAAGGATGGTATTCTGCAATAAGGAACGTGGCCATCAGATGTTTTCCCACCTGAAAAAACACTGGGCCAGGTGGACACTGACAACTTTGGCCTTGGTTGGATTGCTCCCAGGATTTTCAGGGGACAACAGATGCAGGTGGAGGGGGTACCTTACTGACATGAACTCCTCCATGCTTAGACGTTGAATGTGGCTGTGTTCCCCAAACTCAAGTAACAATCTGAAGGACGCTTTGTGGTTCCTGGAACGACCCTCTCTGTGTTGGTCGCACATACCTACAACTCACTCAACAAGGAACTCCATCCCAGAGTAAACAGACCAAGAGTTCCCATATCCTGGGCTGGTCTGGCTATGGAGAACATGGAGTTTGAAGGTATGTTCCTCACTCCTCCTGGTCCCCCAGTCGGCTCCTGACTTTGGGGTGGTGAGGTGAGACTAAGAAGACTCCACTCCTAAAGGCTCTCTGACTAGCCACCAGAGGCCAGCCCGCTCTCCCTCCACCCACCCTGAGGTCTCAGAGGACCATCTCCTGGCTCTCCAAGGGGAACCGCCATCTTAGAGCTACACTTTGCAGTCAGGTAGAGCATGACTTAGGCTGTTGGGGTCTGGAAGTTCTTCACCTCTATTCTACCCCACCAGGTGGAAAAGACGTGGCTCCCATCAGTAAGCAGAGTGGACACTGCTTTTCCAGACTGTGAGGCACTTGGGAGAGTAGGCTGATCTCTGTGTCACCCTTGGCCATCTTAGGGTGAGGCCCCACCAGCGCCGGAGGCTGCAATGGGAGATTCTCTCTGGGGCGGGAGGTAAGGCACTGGCAGGGGAGAGTGAGGACAATGCTCATGCTTCTCTGCAACCTGGGGGCAATTCAGTCCTGCCACATGGATTGCTGGAAGGAGAGCTCCTGCCTCAACTAACTCTTTAGGTCCAGGCCAAAGAGCCATGGGCTTGGTGACAGGGACAGCTGTGGCCACCATCTACTACTCTTCTGTGAGGCTGGGTTTGCCTGTCCCCACTGCCTGGGCCCTGATTTCTTCCCTTTGTGTCTCTCAGCAGTTGGGTTCTTGGCCAGTGGCCCCAGTCATGGGGAGAAAGTCCATCTTACCATAGCTACTTCCGAGGAGAATGTTACCATGCTAATGGCTGAGGGTGGGCACTGAGGGGTTAGGCACTTTGGCCAGCAGAGGTGGGAGTGGGGGAGTTATGACCTTAGAAACCCTGTTTTTGGTCATTCTTGGCAGTGAGTATCCTAGACAGGCCAGGGTGGGAAGGCAGAGGAAGAAGGCCCCATCATGGCAGAAAAGCACAGACTGGAGGCAGGATGAGGTGAGGGTCAGGTGGGGGTTGTGGCCAGATATTTATCATGGGTGGAGCAGGGGGAGGGAGATCCCCACCAGGCTCTGGACATGTGGGCCTGGAGCAGGGGGATGTACAGGCATCTGTCCCTGAGGAATGGGTGCATTTCTCCTGCCTGCCCTTATCCTGGGCACCAGCCAGTAGCCACTTCTGGAGTGGTGGGGGCATCCCAGGGAGAGGCTCTGTCTTCAGTCTCTACTCTCTGCCCCTACTTGAGTCTTTCTGTCAAATAAATGGCAATTCCTCATGATTGAGGTCTCGAGGGACTGGGGACAGCCTGTGGCCTGCAGGAAGTGGGGACCTGGTGTTAGGTTTGGCAGGAGAGAGGCTGAGCTGGGCAGGAAGGAGAGGTGGGAGAGGAGGGGCTGAACTTGAGAGGGGGTGGGGAGGGCTACTGGACAGCAGCCAGCCCCAGGCCTGAGCACATGGCCCCAGCCGAGCAGCCCCACCCAGGTGCCACCGCAGGCTGCTCTGGTCAGGAGATCTCATTGCCAAACACCTCAAGCACAAGGGGCGTGAGCTTCATGCTGCACTCAGGCTGGAAGGAGAGGCAGCGGTACTGCTTGGAGTGCTCCTCGTTGAGGCTACGCAGGTCAGCCAGCTTCTGGATCATCTTGGCATACAGCAGATGGCTGCCTGGAGGCGGGTGGCGACAACGGATATAGGTCTGCAGCGTGTTGGACAGGCGGTCCTGGATGGCCTCGATCAGAGCAGCGTCCTGCACCCCAGGACGGTCTGTGGGCATAGGGATATGGGAGGAGGAGGCACAGGAGCTCTGAGCCATGTCTCTTACTGTTCAATCTCCCCACCACCCTTCAGTCCACACAGACAGACACGCAACCTCCTAAGTCACCCCTGTATGGCTACTGACCTGTGACATCACAGTACTCTTTAAAACCCCTCAACCACTTCCCATTGCATTTAGGAGCAAGCCCCAGGTCCTTTTATGGGCCCATCTGGCCCTGTACCCACCTCACCCCTCTCCCTCCGTCTCTACACTCCATCCTTCCATCAGGATTCTGATGTACCATGCTCTTTGGACTCCAGATTCACATTTGTGTTCCCTCTGCCTGGAACTCAGTAGTTTACCTTTGCCTGACTCTGACTGATGCTTTAGGTAACAGTTTAAAACACCTTCCTCAAGAAGGCCATTCCTGGTGACTCCCTACCTCCATGCCCCAGACTACATCAGGTTCCTTCCTTCTATTATACCCTGCTGTAGTATCACATACTTCTTTATTTTTTAAACTCTCCTGACATTAGAAATTAGTTGTTAAATAATATTTGTTTAGTGTCTCCTCTTACACTTCATGAGAGAGAAGTCTTGTTTGCTGCTGAATCCCTATGCCCATCACAGCACCACTATACGCTCAATAAATCATTGCTGAGTGTACGTATGAATTAATGAATGAATGCTGGGTGGAAAGGGGAGAGTAGCCCATGTCCATTCCTTGGGTCCCCAGCATCTCTAGGTAGAGGCTGCTGCTCACTTGTTCCCTGAGCACAGTCGAGACTGAGGCAGGGCTACCCCCTTTGGGCCTCATCACCAATATAACATCCCTAGGACCACAATAACCTCCTCCTCAGCCTCTCAGCCTCTCTCCCTCTTCCCACCCCAAACAGGCAGAAGAGTTTATGGGTCACAGCACACTGCCTCCAAAATTAGTCAGGTAAACTGCCTAGGTAGAACCATCCATCAGGCCCCAGGGTTTTTTTATGTTGCCTGCCCCTCTTCCCCAGGGTACCTCAAGTATCAGGGAAGTTCAGTCCAGTTCACACAAGAGCAAAGCCTGAATATTGGGAATATCCAGGTCTGTCTGAGGTTTTATTTATCTAGCTCTTATCTATCTAGCACCTAAGAATCCCACCTATGAATCACCAATAGCCTTGATAGGAAAGGCCAAAGGCAGTGGGGGATCTCTCAGTATACGCACACCATATGGGCTGTGGAAACCAGGTGTTTCCTGGTCTGTCTGTCCTTTTGTTCACTTCTCCCTCCGGGCTGCCCTGCTGACTCTCTGTAGGGCTTCATCCTTCTACTCCCCACATCCCAGGTCCCCAAGTTCCTCACGGCTAGGCCCCATACCTGGGGAGACAATGCAGATGGCCATGAGCAGGACATGCTCCTCCTCATGCAAGTTCAGCTTCTTCAGCCCCACCTGGAACTTGATGAGTGGCTCAATCAGCTCCAGGTTGTGTCCAGCTATGAGAGAGGATGGCCAGATTTGTGGGCAGAACTGAGGAGCCCCCCCCGCCTCCCCCACCTCCATCTTTGACCAGTCCTGACCGTTGTTCTTTTCCCCCTGTTGCTGCCTGATAGGGGCCCATGACCCTAGGAGAGGTGGGGCCAGAATCTGGGAGCTGGAGAAGGTGGAGGCAGAGCCAAGACTCACCTTTGGCCACATCACTGACACGGTACTTGTAGTCCTGACCACCACAGGTCCAGGACATGTCATCCATGGTGAAGGACTGGTTGGAGCGCAACATGATGACCTCAATGGCACTTGACTTCAGCAGCACAATCTGGTCCTCAGAGCTGAGGTCTCTGCGGGGGAGGGCAGGGGTGAGGGTCAGGTTATTGATCAAGACATTCATGTCATACAAATTAGTGTGTTGACAGGTCTACAACTGCCAGGTGATCAGTATGTGCCCTGGATTCTCCATTGAGGAGTTTGCAGCCTGGCTGGAAAGAAAAGACTATTTCTTAAGGAGAACAACTCAAGACTGTATGTCAAGGTGAGAAGTGAAGTGAAGTAGCTCAGCTACTAAGGCAAGGAAAACCCAGTGACTTGCCAGGGTCTCCCAGGTGTAATCAAACAGAGCTATTTTAGGGACAGGGAGACAGAGCCTGTGAGGAAGCTCCCAGGGTTATGGCATGAATGTGGTGATCTACAAAAGATATGACCAGAGTCCTCTTTAACAGCTCCCATGCTTTCTTTCCCTCTCCCTCCTCCTGTCCTCCAGTCCTTCCTAGTAGAAAAGCTTAGCCAACTCTGTCTCCAGGACATCTCTGGAGATGCCCACCAGGATTTCTCTGGTTCAGAGCTCTGTCATTTTTTTTCAGTTGCCTCCCACTAGAATCCTGGAGTCAAGTCTCTTGGATCTGTCATTTATCTTTCTTACAGCGGCTACCGAAAAGTATCATATTCCTGTGCTCAGAAATCCTCACTGATTATCACACACCCCAGGATTAAGGCCATACTCCATAACTTGGCTCCAACCTGTCTTTCCAGCACCCCTTCCCATTGCAAACTCCACCAACCCTCCATTCTAGCAACTGTGGACTATCCCACACGCAGAGGCTGTGTTCTCATACCACTGTGACTTTGAGCATGTGACAGCTGCATCCAAGAACACTTTCTCCTTCTCTTCCACATCTATCTGGTCCTGAATTTGTGAGGTCTCCTTTGGAGGCCCCCACCCTCCGATTCTCCTCAGCAGAATTGAAGCTATTCCTTTACATTACTTGTGCACTGATTTTGGGACTCCTTGGCTCTGTTTTTCACATGCTTGTTCTGGATCTTAACTGTAAGCCACTTGAGGGCCAGCACCCCCTCTTAATTACCTCAGGGCTGCCACACACTGATCACTCAGCCCTGAGCCCATCAAGAGGGTCATTAAATATGTGCTGATGAGTCAACAGGCCAATGACTAGTTCCACTAATCTGAGTCACGAGCTGGGCTTGTCTGAACAATGACAAGGAAAACAGCAGGGCCTGCAGATCAATTTGCTTCCGGTTTTTCCTCCCTCCTCTTCCTGACTGTATATTTCTGCCTGGATATCCTGTAGATAGGCTGTCATCCTCTCTGTGGCTGCACTTTGGTTTGTGAAAAGATGATGACGACCAGCAAGGGGTTTGCAATGAAAAAGAAAATCACAAAGTACTAAAGTTGGAAGGTCCCTCTTAGAGGCTTTGTGGTCCAATTCCTTTGTCAGCATTCCTGACACATGGCTATCACACAGCCTTTGCAGGATTCTCCCAGTGCCAGTGAGCTCACGGCCTCTGGATACAGCCAGGACGTTATTAGCTCTTGGTTAACAGCCTCTTCTTCTATTGAGCTATCACCCACATGATGACATACTTAACCACTGCTTGTACTTCTGTCCTCTCAAGGAACACAGACCCAGACCTCTCCACTAGCCATAGACATCCTTTTAACTATTTAAAGAAAGCTACCACGCACGCCTTGCCTCTTCTCCAGGACAGACAGCCGCAGTGATGTGGCATCTAGACATCTCACCATCCTTGTTACTTTTCTCTATATGCTCAATATACATTAAAAAAAAAAAACTAACACCGCCCTCATTTGGGTTTTAATTCATTATACAAATAAAACATGTTCATCATTAAATCTTTGGAAAATACAGAAAATATATAAAAGCAAATAAAAATTACTCATAACCACAATGAACATTTTGGTGTATTTCCTTCTTATCTTTCTTCTATGCAAATATCTTTTTCTAAAAAAACACACTCGAGTTCATAGTAATTCTGCGGTGTCCCACTTCTTACATCACTAAAATTTCTCTAGCCCAGTCCATAGAGGGTGGCATAATGTTACATCATATCCACATACTGTAAGTTACTTAATCAGTCTCCTATCCACCTATTTTGTGACATTATGGTTGCTTCTAATTTTTACTATTACAAGTAATTTCGTGAGGGTTACCTTACATAACCCTCTGTTCGATGGCCTTCTCAAAATGAATGGCCAGAAGTGGCCAAACATCCCATGGGTGCTTGGCCAGAGAGATTTCAGGGGGACCACTGCCTATTGTGATCCGGACATGCTACTTCTATGAAAGCAAACCTAGAACAACCTCGAATTATCACCCATGGACTAGAAATACAGGGAATTTCTAAGCGCAGCTCACAGTCAGAACCAGGGCTGGCGGGGTGTAGGGGGTGAGGTGGAGGCGGAGAAACCCATATGAGACCTTGTTCCTGCTGTGATAGGCGCCAGCTCCAGCTCCGCCCTCCTTCCTGAGGCTGTATAATATTTATACCCTGATCAGTTTTCACACCTGTGGCTGCTTCTGTGCACCTGCAATGTGCTCTGGAAATGCGTCTCGGTGTTCCCACCTCCCAGGCCAACTCCAGCCCCTCCCTGCCTGCATTCTCACGGTTCCTCTAGCAGGCCTCTCTTAGAGCCCTTATCTCCTCACAGAAGCTGTTCACACGTCTATCTCTTCCATCAGACACCAAACCCCTGGAGACCAGACTGTGTCCTTGTCAACTTTTATCCCTCACAGTTTATGTAAGGAAGCGGTTGGTTGGGTAGATGAACAAGTGAATACAGAGGAAAGGGCATAAGAGGAGGGGATCGCTATGACCCCCTTTGATCCAAAATGGAGCCCCTGGGAATAAAAATGGCAGTGAGGTTGAAGGCATTTAGCCCACAGGGCTGGGCTCCAGCTGGTTTGGCCTGGTCCCCCGTGCACCTCTCCTAGCAGTGAAACCTGTGGTCCTTGGTTCTCAGATCCAAGACGGCTCCTGGCCATTTAGATGCTGCTCCTGAACCCACTTCCTCTATGCATTTCTTTTGCAGTGCTGAGGGAAGGAGATTTGTGGGGTGCATACTGAGAGTCTGAGGGAGGATAGGTGGGAGTCAGGAGCAGGATCCAAGCTACAGCACAGTGCAGTTCACACCCAGTACAGTCCATCCAGTCCCACCCCACTTTGGTCCCATGCCTGCACTGGAGTCTCAGCCTGTTGCCCCCATTCCCCACTCACCCACACAGAAGTCTCATCCTGCCCTCCCCACATCCTCCACCCCTGCCTATAGGCAGCAAGATCAAAGCCACCAGGGACGCAGCCACTGAATTTTTATTTCTTGGAAAAACAGAACCCTAAGTGCAGAAATTGGCAGAACCAGAGGGCTGATGGGCTGGCTTTGCCTGGATCCCACCGGAACCTGGGCTCTGGTCCCAGTCCAGGCTCAACATCACCTCTGCCTAGTCACAGAGAGCATCCACGTCAGTGTCCACCCCCAGAACTCTTGTCAAGGCCTGCTCCATTTTTACTAGAACATTCCGCTCTGAGACTTCTAAAGTCATGCTGAAGAGAGAGAAGCAACCCAAGCATGTTCAGGATCAAGTTAAGCAATTTTGCATCAATAACGGACAGTTCCATGACTGCTCATATACACGTCACTTTGGCCATGGCTGCAGGGCTAGACTAGGGAACTCTGGAAAATGAGGCTTGAAAAGGAAGGAAGGGGGCAGACTTCTGTTCATCCTTGGGGAGAGAAACTGTAGGGCTAGTAGTGCTATTTGTGGCAGGGTATATGTGGCGAGGGTAAGGGATAGGGGCCAAGGGCATGGGAGAAAAATAGGGGCTTGGGTTGTTTAATGGAGGGGGCAACAATGGGGTAGTCTGGTTAAATGAGTGACTTTCTTTTTAGGACAGTTTCTGCTTATGTGCAATCCCAGCTATCACTTAGGATCACCTAACCTAGCATCTGGACAGGGCATCAGATGCCCTCTCATCCCACGCCACAGCAGGCAGGGAAGGTGGACCCTGTATAGATGAGGACTGCCCCTTGGCATCAGAATGAAAGCCGAGTGCTACCATGTATCTATCGGCACCTTGAAGTGTTTTTTTCTCTAGCTGTTTACACAAAACAAGAGTTTGGAACACATGGAGTTTGCAGATAGTAACCTGAAGAGCGGAGGAGAAAGTTGGAACTTGTGCTAAGCGGAATGTGTTGTCTGTTCCAAGGGAAGGCTCTAGAGGGTAAATCCCAGGCCCAGTGCAGAGCTGAGCTCACAGGCGACACTCAGGTCTTGCGCCTGCCAGCCTGTCTGCCAGAGCGGCCCTTACTCCTTTTGCCGCAACCACAAGGTGCAATACAGTAAGTGTCTCAACGCTACTTGATGTGTTGCTCTTCTTTACAATTTTCACATTAATTCCAGGGGAAGAGCACTGGAGAGTCACAGGTATTTGGGCTGGTGAGAGAGAGGCATAAAATAATACAGAGCCAGCTGTCTCAGGGCAGAAACCAACTAGGAAGTGCTTGGTTTAGCTCTGTGAATGACCATCATTTAGCTGGTAATGCGGTCATTTAGACAGCAACTGATGGCTTCCCTACACAGCAGAGAGATTCACAAAACAAGAAATGGCACCTCTGAGCTGGTCAATGTCCTATCGTTTTCAGGCTCCCAGTATTCCTGCACTGAGTCTGAGCAGCGTCTAGGAAGCATTCCTCTCCTGCTGCTACAACTGCACCTATTGCCACGGCTTGAAATGATGGTAATAATGCTGGATATTAATTTATTTATTTCTATTTTTCAACCACATTGTATATTTATTTTATGGCAAAGTTCTAAATAAACTTTTAGGAAGAATGAGGATAGAAAGATAGATAGATAGATAGATAGATAGATAGATAGATAGATAGATAGATAGATAGAACTACTCCCAATGTATCTCCTAAAATTGTCAAATTTTAACTATTTTAAGAATATTTGACACTGCATGACTCTTTAAATATATGCATTATATGTGCCATTATTACCAAAACAATAAAATATTTGAATGAATGAATAAAATTTGTATGAATGAATCCACAACAGAGGATCCCTACTCTGGTAGAAGTCCTTATTATCATCCATTTGAGCAGAAAGGCCTCAGCACAGTTAGGAAATGGCCTTGGGTGAAGAGTAAATTGGGCAGAGGATGCCCAGGTCATATATACCCATAAGTCTGTCTCCCTCTAGGACTCTTAAATGACTTCACAAGTCTTCATGCCCAACCCTTTTTCCCCTCCATCACTCCATCCTAGTTTCAGAACTGGGTGTGGAAGATGAATGTAGGTTTAATTTAAAGACATACATGAGTGTTAAACCCAAGCCAGCTGGAGTAGGCACAGCAGTGAACTAAGAGTTCTAGACCTGGCTCTGACACACTGGCTCCAACACTAGAAATCCCAGTGTTGGCCATGAAACCTCTCTGGGCTTCCGTTTCATCTTCCAGAAAGTGTGAGGGACAAATAGCTCTCCAGTGCTGACCTGCTGAGTAATGCTGGATGGGCTACTCTTCCTAAAATGCAGATTACTGGCCCTCGCCCAGAAGTTCTGATTTCAGAGGTCTGGGGTAGGGCTTGACTCTCTATCTTTTTAAGCAATGGATTGGTGATCTCTGAGCCTTCTCCCAGCTCACTCTAGGATTCTGACTCAGTTCCCAAGATGTCCCAGAAGCTTCTTACCTGAACCCTGGGATCATCTTGGCAAAGCCAATAACCTTCTGGATGCTGTAACTGACCAGGTCAGCCAGGTGCGGCAGCATGGAGAGTTGGGACAGGTCCAGGGTCACAGAAGGGTCATCTGAGTCTTCTTCACTCAGATCCAGGTTGGAGAAGCTGGTTGGCTCCATCATGTCTGGGGAAGGATGGGGGAAGAGCAGCAACGACTTAAAGATACTTGAGCCAGGCTTCTTCCAGCGTGGCCCTATGAAGACCTCCGACACCCTGGCAGCTGGGCCAGCTGGGAATCCCACAGTGACTGCCTCTCTCTAAGGTCACACTTCAGCCCAGGCTTCCCTCTAGGCTTCCCCTGTCTCTTCTTTCAGCAGAGTGGGGCAGGAAAATCAAAGATCGGAGATAGTCTAAAAAACGAGACTTCCTCATATGTTGTTCCTAATGATCTCAGATCAAAAATAATTTTGGAACCAATAAACTTGCGGGAAGCAATGTTCACCCTCACTAGTGATCAAAGAACTGCCAAGTAGAACATCTACACTTTTCACCTATAAACTAGAAACAAATATGTTTAAATGTGGATACCATTGTTCGTGAAGGTGCAGGGAATTAGGCAATTCTTGTGCAGTGCTGGGGCACTAAAGGAGGCATAAATCTTCACAGGTCATCTAGAAAGCTCTTTGACAACAGGGGTCAAAATCCTACACTTCAACCAGGAATTCAGCATAAGGAAAACATTTCGAATAAGCGCAAATATTTAGCTACAAGCGTAGTTATCTTCATGAAAAGCTGGTAAATAATCTAGATATCCAATGATAAAGGATTCAGATATGTTATTATACATTCATGCCTCAGAATACTATGCAACCATAAATAACGATATTCTAGATGTATACAGAATTATGTGAAAATATGATACAATGTGCTATTGTGAGAAAAAAGCAGATTGCCAGACTGTGTATAGCACAATTCCATTTCTGAATATATATATATATATATGTGTGTTTAAAAAACAAACATGGGAAACAGATGCATCACAGTGTTAACAATGATTATCTCTGGGAAGTAGAATTAAATATTTTACATAATATAAACTTGAGTTTTTATTTTCTTAATGTCTGCAATGAACATGTACTACTTTTGTGTGGTAATTTTTAAAAATTAAAAATGTTAACTAGTTTGAATATTTAAATAAATATATGCTTTACTGGCCATACTGCTGGTGGGGGTGACCACCTCCAAACAATGCACCTATGAGAGAGTATCAAAACTCCTAAAAAATATGGAATTATTATCAAAAGCTGATGTACAGACCAACCTATAACATGCAGATTGACCCTCATTGATGTAAGTGAATATGCCATCAAGTGAGAAAACTAACACAGGGATATTTGATATATTTGTATATTTGAAAGTTGCTAAAAGAGCAACTTTTAGCAAGGTAAGAGGCTTGGAGGGTCAGTTAATCCATGCAGTGGTCAGTGGGGTGGGTAGACACAATTTTTCGCTCCAATGCACTCTCTGCCGGGTTGGCACTGGGACCCCTACTGCCTATTCTGGATCTGGGCCCAGATCCATCAATGAGCCTGGAGGTGACCATGTCTGAGGGTTCTAGTTTCCCAGCAGGGAGGGGAGGCCCTAAACAGAGGGCAGCAGGGTTGGGGTTGGGTGAGAGATAGGGGAATGAAGGACAAGGGCAGGAGGAGGAGGAGGCAGGAAGATGAAGGTAGCAAAGGAATATAAGAGGAAAAGCAAGGGTGAGCTGGAGGTGACAGGTCCTCCAGGGCCTTAGCGGTCCCCAGGGCTCCAGGGTAAGGTGGGCCGCAGTGGGATCCACATGTTCTCCTTCCACACCGAAGACCACCTTCCAAAGGGCTCAGGCTCTGATGAATACAGTTAACAATGCTGTTTTGCATATTTGACAGTTGCTAAGAGAGTAAATCTTAAAAGTGCTCATCACAAAGAAAAACTTCTTGCAACTATGCGAGGTGATGGATGTTCATTTTGTAACATGTACGTATATCAAATCATTATGCTGTACACCTTAAACTTACACAATGTTATCTGTCAATTATATCTCAATAAAACTGGAAAAACCAACCAAACAAAAACCCCCAGAGGACCCTGGCTCAAAATGCCATTTACAGGAACCAGGTCAGCCCCAGGGAGGGGGCCAGGGGCAGATGCCTGGCTTAGAGGGAAAAGCAGAGGCTCTGCAGATACATACTGCCTTGGACCCCAGCTTGGCCTCTTCCCCAGCGTGGGCCCGTGGGCAAGTTCCACATCTTCTGTACAAAGGGGTTGTTCCCAGACACGGTGTGGTCCACAGTGTGCAAGTGCCACCCTCCCATCCGCAGCCTAGGCCCTGCAGGTGGGAAAGCTCTGGGCTCGTCTCCCGGTCACTAGGGAGGGAGGCATGCAGTCCCTCTTACCTGGGGAGGTGGTGTAGTGATCTGAGCAGGAGGAGGACGAGTCCCCAGAGAAGCTGGGCATTTGTCTCAAGGACGGCCTTGACAGGTGGCTGCCACCACACTCGGCCCCACGAACTGGAGGCTGGAAGGGAAAGATGGATATCAGAAGCACACGTTTCAGGGCCACCTTCCTACCTTGGCCCTGATCTCTGACAGGAGGACTCCCCTGGGAGGGGGACAGGGTAGCCTCCCATCCCTTCCTGGTTCTGTGCCTGGACGTCCTCGCCCTCCGTCCCACTCCCCGTGTTCTGGCCGCCCCCCGCGGGCAGACGCACCCGAAACTGGCTAAAGTCGGCATAGGTGGGGTCGTAGGTCTTGTGGTGGGCGTCTAGCAGGACGTTGATGATGCGCTGCTGCTCCTCAGACAGCCTGGGCCGCATGCTGTCCTTCAGGGCCTCCTCCTCCTTCCGCTTGAGGATCATCTCCCGCTTTCGCTGCACCTCCTCGTCCGTCAGGATGACTGTGGGCGGGGAGGGTGGGGGCATCGTCAGAGGGCCTGGCCTCAGCTCCTCCAGGAAACCTGCCTCTAGGTGCTAAAGGCACAGGTGGAAGGGCTGTCCCCCACACGCGGAGCCCAGTGGGGGCCTTCCTGCCCATGGGGAATCCAAGCTCGCCCTACCGGTGGAAAACTGGATTTTCTATGAAAAGGCAGGTGCGTGAGAGAGGAGGAAAAAGAGGACTTGAGTGGTGGATGGTCGAGGCATTAGGGAGGCAGGGTTCTCACGCACACCTTGTGTAGCTCGGGGCAAACTGTTTAAACTCTGTGGGCTTTTGTTCTCTTGTTTATAAAATGAGAAGTTTGGACCGTATCATCTCTGCTAAGGTCCTTTTTTTGGTTTCTTCCTCCATAAAGTGTGTCTAGATGGGGTAGCAGGGGGATAAACACCTCCCTCAGAAGATGGACTGTTCTGAGAACCGAATGCAGTGAGAATCAACATGAATTCTCACCCTTCTCACTCCTCTCATACTCCCTCACACTGAGGGAGGCATCGGGGGAAGGAAGGGTGAAAGAGTCACTGTGTGGACAGTCACAGTATCGGAAAGTAGGGGATGCTGAGACGACGCCTCTACCTACATGGCCATTCTCATGGCCAAGTTTCCAGGCATGGAACACAGGCACCTAATGGATTCTGACCAAGGTAGAAAGACTTTCTCTCTTTGGTTCCCTGCAAAACAACACCTCCTCCAACCTGTCAAGTCTTGATATTTCTGCCCAAGGAAGTTTTCAAGTCCTCTAGAAGTCACCGATGATCACACCTCACAGTTCTAATCAGAGAAGTTCTCTCCGCTGCTAGCCAGGTGTTTGAGGACGGGGAGACTTTATGCCCCTTCATGCTGTGCAGGGGCTTCGGGTAGTGCTGGGCAGCTGCCCGGGAAGGCAGTGCTGGGAGAAGGGATGCCTGGCACGAAAGCCAGGCAAACAGACCTCCTGGCCGGGGTTTGCAGAAAGCTGACAGCAGGAGTGGGCACTGGGGCCCTCGGCCTGTAGCTACTTGCTCTATGCTGGTGTTGCCAGGGCCTCTGCCCACAGACATGGGGAGTTTCACAAGAGCAGGGAAAGGAACCAGACTTCATAGTGGGTGGGTTCCAGGCTTTAAGAAAGGCCCATTGGCCCAGGTGCCTATGGTGGGGTGAGGCCAGGGAAGTTGATGGGGGGTGAGGGAGAGCCTATGAAGGGTGGGAGTGGGCAACCAGAGCCTCAGGCACAGCAGGAAAGGGAAGCCTGCAGCAAAAGATGGCATGCTCCCTCTACAGCTGAGGTAAAAGGAAGGCTGGGAGGAGGCCACGCCCAGGTAACTGACTCACCTGCTCAAATTGTTGCCAACCCTCCTCCCACGGAGGGTGTCTGCTCAGACCCCAAGAGGTCAAATGGGGTGGGAGAGGTAGGAATAGGGAGCATCCCAGTCAAGGCAGGGTGCAAGGCCCTAGCCTCGAGGACCCAAGATTAGGTGTCTGGTCTTTCCTGCTCACCCAAGGGATGGGCAGAAGAGGCGATGAGGCTGGAGCTACAGGGGGCTGGCCCTGCCAGTCACGCCATGGGTGTCCACAGGCTTGAACAACCCCTTGTTGTTTTACAATGTCACTCTCCTGCTCAGAAACTTTTCCTGGATCCTTATTGCTTACCACCTCCAAACTAAAGTCAAGATTCTCTATGAGTTCCTTGTTCCTAAAGCTCCAGCCTTACTTCCCAGTGTCTCTGGACACAGCTGCTGCTCTAGTCATGTTGGAATTGCTGACCTGTGAACACCACCTGCTCACTCTTGCCACTGCATCTCTACTTGTGCTGGATGCCTGTCCAGCTGTGTCTTCTCTCCCCAATAGCTGTGCAAATTCTACCCGTTCTTTAGCACCCAGCATACAGCCAGCTCCATTACCATGAAGGCTTTCTTGATTGCCCTGATCTACACTGAGCTCTCATTTCTTGTTTTTGCATTATGTCTTGTTTTTCCTATAAACACCGGTAACCAAGTGTCTTCCACTCTATAATATTTATTATTAGTAAAGTTTCCAATAAATGTCTGTATAGAGACAGCCCAAGAAGTTCAAGGCCTCCTTCACTAGAATTGTAGGCTGCTTATGGGCAAGGGGCCACATCTTATGATTCCTGTGTTTCCCCTGCGTAGGCTAGCCCACTGGGGCTTCCTGGCCATGGTGCTTGCTCATAGTCTGACAGATTGGACACCCAACACATCGACATGGCTCGTACCTGTTATGTGCTAGTCATTGTCCTGGGATCAGGAAAGGGCAGTGAGAAGTGCACCAACACTGCATGTACCCTACAATGGCAAGGATGGCACACACTGAATGCCAGGCCACCAGATAAGTGAGCCAAACTTACCTTTTTAATCTAAATAATTGTTATCAAAGTATTTCCAAGACAAAATACCTTATAACAGAATACCTGTAACATCATGTAACCTTTTCTTGATGATCCAGAGGCATCATTCGGAACAATTACTGGACTTTGTAGGAACAAGGTTATGACCTCAGAATTATATGGGGCTGTCTCCCTGCATGAGCCAGCCTGCTATGATTTTGAGTTCTTGTACTACTTTTCATGACTTTCAGTCTCCCTCTCTCTGTTAAGCTGTGTGTTGTCTCTCCCTATTGGTGTCTGCCCCTAGAAGTGTGCCTTTCTCCCCATTAAGAGTGTCTTCAAATCTGTTGGGAGCTGGAAATCCTGGAGATCAAGTTTTATATAATAAAAAATAGTGTTAATAAAAATGAATAAAATATATAGAGCTTTTTTTGGTACCGGGCATGGTTCTAAGTGCTTCTTCTATATTAACTCACATATATTTAGTCCTTATAACAACCACTTAAGGCAGGTGCTATTATCCCCATTTTGCAGATAAGGAAACTGAGGCCCAGAGGCTATCTACCTTGCTCAAAGTCACACAGCTAGCAAGTGGTGGAGCTGGTATCCAGGCCAGGCCAGTATGGTTCTAGAGTTCAAGGTCGTAACCATGACATCTAATTACAATTGGCTATAATTGCACAGTAGGACCCTGGTCCTCAGCATGGAACACACAAAGCGTCCAAATCCATCTGAAGAGTGTGAAAAATTAAATACAGTTTGTAAATGATTTACTTCGAGAGGACAAAGTTAAGAAGATTCAAGGTTAACTTTTGACATTGTTCCTCTGGATCACTTATATCAAATAGCGACCACCTTCCCGTGTGCGGTGCCAGAGGAAGAAATGCTGCTGGGATCTACTGGTTTCAAACAGAGGCCGCCAACCCATCAGCCTCTCTCCGGGCCACATTGTCTGGGGAATGAATAAGTCATATGCCTCTCACATATGCAGATGTTGTGATTTATGAAATAAGTCATTTGTTTAAAGGGGCTACTAATTTCATAGGAGATTTTTAAAAATAATTTTTCTCAATGAATTGCTACTAAACATGCCATTACTATCATGTAGGAGGACACATGTTTTTGAAGTTAAAAGCCATTGACCTAGAATAAGAGCCAATAGGTTCTGAAAGAGCATTTGATGGGCTCCCCAATGAATAGAGTGCATGAGCTGTGTACACGGACTTTGTGAAAGCCACATGACTACCCAGTAGATTTTCTCCTTCCTTCCAAGTTCCTTGCTGTGTGAGAAAGTGGATTTGGGAAAATCATTCTGATGCAAGACTCTCCATGAAGTCTAGAAGCAAGTTAGAGAGGCAAGATCTGAAAGCACTAACAACTTAAAAGTATTTCAAATTGCCACCGGTGGCCTACAGACATCAGGGAAGTTGACATAAAGGTTTTCCAACGAATGACACAGGTAATATCAGGTTTGGGGGAATCTTCTTGATCTATAGACCAGTGGGAGATGTAAATATACAAAGAAGCATAACGGGGAGCTAATATTCAATCCTTCAACACATATTTATCGAGCACCTACTATGTGCCAGGTGCTGTGCTAATGCTGGGTAGAAGAGGTGTACATCTGTAAAAACATTAAACAAGTTATCACATAGATGGTTCTGTGCAGGACAGGCCTATAAGAAGCAAGAACTCAACTATGAAATGTCTTGGGCTCTAAGGACATAACATCACCTAGGACTTGAAAGAGAAGGGGAGTCTTCAGAGGGAACAAAGCTCTCTTCAGCCCACCCAGTTGGGCCCCAGGAAGTGCCTGGAAATGCACAGTGGAAGAGCTCTGGCCCATGGTGGGTGCCTGAGGGACTGTGCTGGCGGGGAGCCCACAGGCCTGGTCTTTGGAAACAGACAGACCTAGGCAAGAATGCCCCTATCATCATCTTATTAACTCAGAGGCATGATATTTTACTTCTTCTGAGTTTTCTCATCTACTAAATTTTAACAACTATTTGCATATTTAGGGATTGTTGTAAGAACTTAAGAACACGCATGTGCCTGACACTTATCTGCACTCAGTAGGTGGTTAATAAACATTCATTCCCAGGCCCATCCCTCCCTGCCCTATGCCTCCTCCAGGGAAGGGCCACCTCCCTGCCCCATCAGAACACACATGGGTTTGCAGCTCCTTTCACAGGAAGCCCTGGGTGTCCTGTGGTTTACAAATGTTGATACTCAGTTATCTCTAGGAGGCTAGGCTTTGGGGACAACAGCCAGGTCAGGTGATAAATGAGCCTCAATCCTAGGGATACGAGCCATGAGCTCCAGGCCCAGACACCCTGACAGGCCTCCCAAAGCTGGGCTGACCTGAGGCAGGGAACCACAGCTGTCCCTGGAAGATCTTCCCTTTGGGGCAGTGGACCAAGAGCTTAGTGTTGGACCAAGGTTTCTATTTTAACTGGAACTCTGGGGCCCATCTCTAATCCAGAAGAGCTCCTTGCACTGGCATCTAGAGAGTGGTGGGCACTGGGCATATACAGGGCAGGGGCACAGGGCTCTATTGGCGGGGGTCACTGAGGCTGGGGTTGAGGTGGCTGAGGCACAAAGCTGACTGGGGGCTGGGGGTGGGCATCCACCCCCCAACATGGAGTTCCTGGGGCAGGGGCACCCTGATACGCTCCAGGCCTGCTCATCACCATGGATGCAGTGCTCTCTGTGGGCACCGGGAGGGATCTGGGAGGGGACATGGAGCTGGATTCTAGTCCCAGCTTGCTTTCTCACTCCAATACTGATATTTTTACCTTTCTGGGTCTCAGATGATTTCCAAGTGTTCTTCCTGTTCTAGGTTGATAGAACATCTCCTTCCTCCTGAGACACAGGAGAAGGGCCTTGGTACATCTGTGAGGCAGGCCCTGACCAGAACTCTGGGGGCCTTACTGATTCCCAGGGGTATTATTCTGTGCCATTCTTGATTGGCTGGAGTCTTAGAACCCGGGATCCCTGTCCTTTGGAGGCTGCACTCTCCCTGGGTGCAGAGGCAGGGACTGTGCGCATTACATCTGGTGTGTGTCCAGCCTAGCGACTCACACAGAGCAGGCCACACTGAGCCAATGTGTGAGAAGCCCCAGGAGGCACCCAGGCCTTGAGCATCGACTGCTCCAGGATAAACACAAGTCGGGTGGGGCAAAGGACTGGGCACGGAGCGATCAGCCTGTCTGGGCCTGCATGCTCCCGTGGGGGCGAGGAGGAACACGGCCTGGAAACTTCTTCCATGACTGCCAGTGTTGGCTGGAGAGCTGGGATCAGGAGTGAGGGGCTGAGACCCACCAGCAGGGAGCCCGTCAAGGCCCAAGAATGAGGCCCCAGGCGAGGGCCTCTACTCTGCCTCTGTTTCCTAGCAACAGAGAATTTTTTTCCTATCAAGGAAGAAATTTCCCATCCTCTCAGCCCTGTCCTGTGACTTTTTTCTTGTTCCAGATACATCTTCCTCGCATGTTCTGCCCTCCCCCCCAAAAAACAGCCCCATAGTCAGGAGGGCCTCCAGGGACGTCTGCATCTGAGCACCCCTCCTGAGCCTCCTCAGGCCCATAGCTGAGCAGGGCCTAGGCCCTACCGCAGGGCTGGGAGAGGGTTGGGGTGCAGACTGAGACAGGAGTGAGCAAGGGGCAGAGCAGGGGCTGAGTGTGCAGAGGGCACCCATTCCCAGGCTGGCCCAGTGCCTTTTTTGCCTCAAGCCCCTGGAGGGCCTGGCTAGCCCTTTCCAGGATCTGCTGAATTCAATGGCCACTCTGGTTACCAAGTAACTGGTACTAGAGCTCAGATACAAAGTCCAGCAGTTACAACATACGGAATTGTCCTACTGGTCCTGTCCTCCACCCCCAGAGCTGGACAGGAAGTCCTATCGGATTGCTCCTCATTCTTCGTCTGGATCTAGAGGGTTATCCGAGAGCCCTGTGCTTCCTCTCACAAAATCTTTCCGCCCAGTCCCCCCGGGCACCAGCCTTCAGGTCCTGGGCCACTCTAAGTGACCACCCCCTTCCGAAGCAGCTGGAAGGTTGGGGTGGGGCAGAACCCGGATGCCAGCCAGGCCCTGAACATTTATTCTCCCCATCATTCCTTCCCCCCTCAACCACAGCAGCCCCCTCTCCCAAAGGCCAAAGAATGCTGGGGTCCTTGAGCCACATTCTTTCCCCTTGGGTCCAGGGAACAAGTTGCTGTGAGCATCGTGATGACATCTCAGAGGAAGGCTGACCTGGGGGCCCATGAAGGCAGTGCCCGGCCTCTCTCCTCACAGCCCTCACACGGGAGGGGCTCTTCCTGGCTCCTGAGACACATATACAGATCCTACAGAGGTTCTCAGGACCCCTTGGTGCTTCTGACGCTGGAGTTCCGGCCACCCTCCCCAGGCAGCGGGTCCTGGAAGCCAGCAGCTACAGAGGCAGAGCGGGCACGCCTCTCGGGCCAAACGTGCATAAACGGCAGCCAGAGCCTCCCCTGCCCCCAGTCCCACTCCAACCCCCTGCCCTGGCCCCTGGACACTCACACTCCTTCATCATGCCAATGTCCACACAGCGCTTGAGCCGGCAGGCCTGGCAGTGGCGGCGGTTGTCCTTGGTGATGCGGCAGTCCCCATTGAAGGGACAGGTGAACAGCGCCTTCCGCTTCATGCTGCGCCTGCCAAGAGAGCACACACCCTCCACTGGGTCACCTGCCTTCCAGCTCCTCAGCCCTGGATGCTGGAGAATGGCCTGCAGGGGCTGCGGCCCTGGGGACCTGCCCGTCAGGCCCCCAGATCTCCACTTCTCCCACAGAGGACTGGGGTTCAGCCCAGCCCCTGGGCCACTCTCAGTGACCACCCCTGACCCCAGGCTGTGTGCGCCAACTGTGCCCTCCTCCTCCATTGCCTGCTCTGCCCCATCATAGCTTTTATCCACTTTTATAGTAGTCTACTTCCCACTCTGTGTATTAATTACATAAGTATATGAGTGAATTAGCCTAGCAAACATGTTTTAAAATACTGAAATCTGCAAAGGAGCTCTCATTGCTATTAATTATCGCAGTGAGAACCATTATATAATAAGGGGGGGTGAGGATGCTAGTCTCAGCCATAACTTTCTAGAGTCCAGACATCTGTAGCTAGAGCATGCCCAATCCAGGGACAGACATGTGCACAGGTGCATGGAGAAGGGAGAAAAGCCCAGCCGTAGCTTTAGACATCCAGATAACCTGCCCAGAAAGAGAAGGGGCCAGATGAGCAGGTGGGAGCTCTGGGTCTGGCCTTGGCTTTCTGAAAGGCAGAGGAAGCACCGTTCTATAAGAACAGAAAACCGTCAGAGGTTCTTAGGTAGGAAGCCGGCACCTACCTGGTAGCCGTTGTATAAGTGTGTGTGTGTGTGTGTGTGTGTGTGTGTGTGTGTGTGNGTGTGTGTGTGAGAGAGAGAGAGAGAGAGAGACAGAGAGAGAGAGAGACAGAGAGACAGAGAGACAGAGAGAGACAGAGACAGAGAGAGAGAGCGCGTGCGCTCATTTTCCGAATTCCAGCTTCCTCCCCTGCTGCTAGCCACACCACACAGGATACTGAGAAGCTGCATACAGATACCTCCGCAGAGGTTTCTCATCATCCATGTCCTAGAGACTCTTCTTATTTTCCTCAGCCCTGGCAAAGGAAGGCCTCACTTTTTCGGCCTAGGACAGGTGACAACATTCAGCTGGGGAAAGACGGTGGCAGAAGCACGTTCTCTGTGAACAGCAGCACCTTCCAAGGAGCTGTGGGGATGCCCAAGCCTCAGAAGCAAAGGCTCAGGCCCAACCTTTTCCCTCTCCCAGAGATGAGCTGGTGATATCATCTTCTCCAGATGTCACACACGCGTTATGTTGCTTGGTGAAAAATGACTTAGTGTTCACATTCACTAGGACATATGAGCACATGGGGTTCAGGACAAACACACTCATCAGTCGACATGGACAGCTGGGGACCAAACCAACTTGACCCGTGGGGTGGGGGAGAAGAGAACAGAGGAATGGCTCTGCTGGCAGTCACAGGTAGTCAGACTCTAAGATCTTAGGGCACTCAAGAGATCATTAGTGTACCCCCCTCATTTTATGGATGGTACTACTGAGGTAAAGAAACATCAGAGAGGCGATTCAGCAAGGCTCCCAAGTTGGGATCCTTAAAGCAGTGAGGCTGAGCTTTTAGCTTCTGGGTTGAACATACTGTTTCATCCCCAGAAACTCAAGGTGCTCAGTGAAGCTGAGCCCACAGGCAAATGGCTCCAGGCAGCTGGCCCTTGAACACAGCTCAAGGCGAAGGACAACCCAGTGGTCCAGGAAGTACTGCTGTTGGTTTTGGGCCTTGGCCCGTCCTTGCCTGTCACAACCCTCATTACCCAAGGGGGCAACCAGCAGACCCGGCTGTACAGGGAGGTGGAGTTGCCGAGGCTATTAGGGGTGTCCAGCAAAGGCCGTGTTCTGTTCCTGCGGTGACTGCCCGGGGTGGGGAGACTGTCTCCCAGGCTTTTGCCCCCCTTTATGGAAACAGGAAGCCTTTCTCCTCGAGCCTCCATAGGGACAGCTTTTCAGAGGGACAGGAGAGCGTGGAAGTTCCTTGGGCACTGTTAGAGCCACCCTGAAATGACATCCTTTCTTCACCACAGGACACATGTATCCCCTCCAGGACATGAGACTGGCTCCCCCCTTTACTCCCTTCCACTTTGTGGTTCTTGAGGCTCCAACCCTACCACAAATGGTCGCCCCCATAATACCCATAATTCTCTAAACCTACTCAAAGACCAGAAGTTTCTAATTCAGAGCCAACTCTCATCCCCCCCGCCTTTTTTTTTTTTTTAAACAACCAGGCATTTCCCCCAGAGGCTGCAGGGCTGCTCTAACCTCCCATCCACTGCCCTGTCTGGCTCAGAGCTCTTGTTAATTCTCCGGGGCCACGGGCACCAACAGAGCACACACGGGCACCTCCAGACACGTGAGCCAAAGCCTCTTGACAGCCCTGTCTGTGCTGGGGGCTGAGAGCTCCCCGAGGCCCGCCTCTCCATCCTCAGGCTGACCCTCACCCGTGGACCTCCTCCAACTGCAAAGTTGCTCAGAGAGAGAATTTTGGAACTTCACCATCTTTATTTTATCTTTCTCATGTTGTAAATCTGAAGCCCAGTTTCAGGCTTCCACACCCAGGAGAGCTGGAGACAGTCACTCAGCTAACATGGCCTGACAATAGGAGTGGATTTTTATGAGGCTGGGATAGGAATCCCAAAAAATAAAGAGCTTGGTTAAAAAGAAAATATTGGGGGGGGGAGGGGAAGCAGTGTTCTTGCTTCCACATTTATAGTTGTAGTATGGAGCCCAGGAGTATTGAGGGCGAAAAAGGAGGCGGGGGAAGAGAAAGGAGAGAAGAGAGGGAGGGAGGGAGGGAAGGAGGGAGGGAAAGAAAATGTTAAAAGTCCCCCTGGCCAGCACATTATCTCACAACAGGGCGTGGACAGAATGCCACCTATGCTTTTCACCCCTTGCCATACCTCGCCCTAAAGCCCACCAGCCCTGCAGTGTGTCTCCATATTATTTGAGCAATGCAGAAAGCAGCCTATAAACTTATGAAGCTCCTAAATTATTATTATTTAAAAATACAGTAAACAGCTCTTCCCAGGCTCCTCTAAATACAGAATCAGAGGAGAGGCCCTGGAGTTGTAGCTGGGAAGACAGAGGTTACACATCATGAAAAACATTATCACACGGGACATCATCAGGCTCTGGAGTGTGATCAGCGTTTGGGGATGGAAAGCTGCCTCGCCAGCTGCGACAGGCCCTTCCCGGGGCCCAGACCCCAGATCCGCCTTTCAGGTATGCCTGGCCCGGCATGTTGTTTGCCAGGACCCATGTCCCGTGGGCTCCACGGTCTAGCTCTTCGCTCTTCTCCTGCCTTCTAAGGGCACTTCCACTCATGTAGCTGTTATCTAGCCTCTGCCCAGGAGCCAGGGCAACCAGACTGGCCAGCCCCGGCTCTGGGCTTTGTCCTGAAGACCCACGCCCTGCCCTGCCTTCCTCCCAGTGCTAATTGCCGGTAAGCTGATTTGGTTTCCAGAAACAAGAGCCTCGGGTTTCCATAGGAGCCCATTGCCTCTGCTTCTCTAAGCCTGGACCCCGTCATGCTCCGCACGGTTAGCAATTATACCCCTGCTCAGGAAGGGGCTAGGGGTGGTGCAAGCAGGCTAAATATAGACACATTTTCTAGAAAGTCAGGGGTGAAGGAGGACATTGACCGACTCTCATGCCAGAGACCCATTCATCAAAACACAAGAGACAGGCAGTTTACAAAAGCATGAAGCGCCTGGGGCCAGAGTCTCAGGCCTGGGATACTGGGGTCCTTCTCCAGCAGGTGACCCTGCCGAGAGAGACACACTTGGTAAAGCCCAAGCCTGAGGCCAAGTACCAGCTCTGGGCTTTGTCGCCACTGCAGCTCTGAGTGTCACAGAAATCTCAGAGTCTGGTCTGGGTACAGGGCCCTGATGGATGAAAGGTCTATGTGGCCTGATAGATGGAACCTACACAGCACATTTGTATGTGGCGGCATCGAAAGTGAGTTTTTTAAAAAATCAACATTAAAAGAAGATAGATTAACACTGTGGTAAAGAGCACAGGCCTCTTTATTGGAGGGCAATTTGGCAATATCTACCAACATGTAAAATGCACAGAGCCTTTACCACAGTAAAGCTCCTTCCAGGAATTCATCCGGTGGGGAAGTCAGCCCATGGGCCCAAAGACACGTGCATGAGGGTAGTTACTGCAGCACTGTCTGGGGAAGCAGAAGATGGAACCAAAACACCCCTCCACAGAGGCCTGGCTCATTACGTCAGAGCAGAGCCACACAAAACAATGTTACTGTGAATAGGACAGAGAAAGAATGCTGAAATGGGAACAAGCTTGAAGAAATGTTCTTTACTAGATAAAAGCAAGATGTGGAACGGCGAGTATAGCATGCTCCCCGCCTCCCATACACACACTTTGATTTAAAGAATCCGAAAGAAAGCAAATGAACTGGTAACAGTGACAGCTTCTGCAGAGGAGGTAGGGACCTGAGAATTGGGTTAGAAGAAGATATGCCCCTTTTGAACGGTTGGCATCTTTTTATTTTTTTTAGGGTCATTTACACAAAACAAATCTACTACCCACTATAGCTATGAAACAATTTTAAAGGAAACACAGGCTTTGGGTGGATGGATCTGTTTGGGTTTAAATCCTAATGCACAACCTTCGACAAGTGACTTAACCCCCCATGCCTCAGTTTCCACAACTGTAAAATGGAAGGAACCCTACTGAAGGGTTCGTTGTAGGGGTTAACTAAAGAATGCAGGGCCTGGCACAAAGTAAGCACTCCATAAAGGGAAGGAAGGGAAGCTGGCAGGGAGAGGCCATGGGAGGGAGTGCGGAAAGGCAATATTTAACTATCCCAATGAGAATCTGAGAACCTGGAAGCTGACGCCATGTCTTACCCCACTCTCTGCGTCCTTAGAGCAGGGCTCTGCAGGCAGCAGAGGCTCAGAACATATTGTTACATGTTCTTGCTCCTGATGTCTAGACCCACAGCCCTTGTGCAAGTAACAGCAGCCACTGTCCAGTTTCTCCGAGCACCAGCCAGTTCCCACTGAGCCCCTGGCTGACATGAAGGT